ACTTTCACATAGAAATGAAAAAAAGTGATCAACATATAATTTCAAACGATTTTAACATCTCACTGACTTCATTAGCCCCGATTAGTTCAAACCAAGGAGCATGCAAAGTGATTGAGTAAAATAATGTGAATGTCTATTAGGGACCACTGCAGCTTCTTGCGAAATGACAAGTTCCTCCTCCTTAGTTAATCCGAAATTCGATTAACTTAGTGGTGAGATGACACATGCAGTATGTGGCGATCTGTTGTGTCTAGGTGGTGTCGCCCCATGTCGCCTTTTGATCTGGAATGAAATCAGTAGCAAGTATTGTGACATGGCTCCATTGGAAAGTGGAGAGGTGAAGAAAGTTTAGTATACACGACAGGAGCTGCCTCACATACTATTCTCAAGAGGGTTAAATCACGCTAGGGTACCAAACCTCATATAAGGATACCGCAACTCGAGGTTCACTGTAATTGACAGCTAAATCTATGGTAGTAGTGCATTCCTTTTACTACAAAATACATGCAACACATAATTGCATTACACCTGTACTACACCACTGACATCATTTTGTCACTCCGCCAGAATGTTCTTTACGTTTTACGACACCTCGTGCATCAATTTCTTTGGTGCCATCACGAGTTTGAATAAATTGGGTTATCGACATATTGTCGACAGATTGGTTGGTGTTTGTGCAGCATCGCAGAATGAATGAGGAGCTAAATTTTCACTTGAGTTAAATATACCCAATTATACATGCTTGTTTGTTTATTTTCTTTTTATACTTTACCAAGTTCCAAACATTCTCGGGCAAAGAAGGAAATCCATTTTGACATCATTTATCTCTCAGAGAAAATCTTGTGTAGAACTTAAAAAACTCCATAGGGTTAAGGAGAGGATTTTTATCATTTGCGGAATGTTTCTGTGTACACTTTATTTACAAGATGCAATTTGAGCATAGGTGATCTTTAGGTCCTTTAAGAAGTCTTTTGAAAATCTGCGCTTTCCCATTGCACGACCGTCTTTGGTGGTGTGACAGTGCATGTTCCAATGTCAGCCCTTTGCCTTTCCTTTATAACTGCGGTCTTACTAGGGCAGACAACTTGGAGACTGAATGGTCTGCTTAGCAGAGCAGAATTTAAAAAACTGCTAATGCAAAGTTTTGCTTATACTTTGGTGTGACGTGTAATTCGATACCTTCTCCAAGACCAAATTTTCTGGTAACGTTGCATGAAATAAGCATAAACTCACTCATGAATTAAATAAACCTAGCTATTTGCCTACAGGCTTAATAACCAAATTATGAATATGGGAAAAATGACCATCAATATCACTAAAGGTATGCCCTCACGACCGTGAGGCTTCCAATATTTACTTTGTATTCAGTGATTATTTGGGCGGGAAGTTTAACGCAATAAATATGATCGGCATTGCTCTCC